TGTTTATTTACAACTTTTTTATAATTTAATGTCTTCAAAATAACATTTTAGTTTTATACTTTTTAACTTGAAGGAGCACAATACGACTACACTATTTCATTACTAACGCTTTGGTGTACACTTTTTGTCAAAACGAACAAAACTATCATGTATGGTATATAATATGGTATTATGGTATGTATGATAGGTACTACAACAATATGTCATTTAAAAATATTATAATAGTCCGTCACAAAATGGCCGTCACTTTTTTTGCGTACATCGAAAGTGACCCTTCTGCTTTCATCTGTTCTGTGTTGAAACTTTGAATATTCGAATAACTATTAATTCGACTACGGTGTACCTGTATTGTGTGTTAAATGAATTACAACAATACTAGTCAATACGAACAAGGCTTTTCTGTAGCAATTCCCATTAGCGTTGTCTACATAGGTACGTGGAAATAATAATTATTAAGGTAACACAGCCGTTAATTTTGAATCGAGAATGGGTTATTATAGTATATGCGTTTGATTTTCAGCGTCTTCACGGCGAATCTGTGTTTTATACGAAACCGTTCCACTTGTTTAATATTATTATTATTATCGTTTCGGTTGTTCGCAGTCGGTTTTCAACAGTTTGGCAACGTCGCATAACGCTGTCGGGTAAGGCGAAAGGAGGGATAAACGGGCGGGGTGGTGCACAGGGAAAGGCATATTGATTTGGTCGCCGGATAAGTCTGCGCTGTGACCTGCCAGCTGCGGCTGTATTTGAGCTCAAATACTTGCGGGAGGGGGAGGGTGGGGGGAGGGACGAGGTAAGATCCTTTGTCCTCGGTCGGGTCAGGCACGTGTAGTCGGCGAAAATCTCGTGTCGCCCAGGCAACGGCCAACGGCCTGTCGGCCATGTCGGTTTTCAACCCCTGTTCCCTTCGTGCCGTGCCATGAGCACAATCGCCCCAGGGACTCGTGCTTCCAGTAAACCGAATATTTTAACCGTAGTCCGCAATGCGGCAAACAGGAATCCGTTTGCTTTTATCCATTCCCATACGGAGCGGCGATTCCTTTGAATTGTTATAATAATACTATGACTAGGGACGTTTTTGGAATTTTCGCAACATTTTGAAAACTTGTCGTATATAACAACGTCTATTCTCGAAAAAATGCCATACTAGCTTAAACAGAATGCTAAACTAATACATACGAAATTCCTACGACACATTATAAACGATAAACAGAGACGGTCAAAGTACTTCATTTTTTTGTATTCGAACAATTAATGAAATTAAATACATTGTACGACGACGTCAATTATTATGCTAAACTACATTAAAGTATACAAATATTTCGATTCTGAATATAATTATAAAAATCCTTTTCTGAAACCAATTTCAAACACTTCAAAAAAGAAAATTATACCAACTAAATATAATATATTAAACGTTAATAAAATTAAATACCTATGCGATCGACGATGATTGTTTCTTAGTAATTTAGTATGTACCTACCTACTACTATAATAAAAGAAATATATTAATTTAGAATATGTTTGCACAACGTTTTGACTTTTTCTGTAGTAGGTTTATTTTTTCAGCGTTTGTGCACGATTTACAAAATTTCGTGTAATTGATTATTATTTATGAAGATAATGTCTTATCGAAGTATATACCTCATTAGATACCTAATTTTATATACATTTTGAATTGTATTTGTATACTTGCTGAGAGAATAATAATTTAAATAAGCATACTATTTAAAGATATTTCAATACTACTACCAAATTAAAATGTATAAACTATTTTTTACTAAAAATAATTTTTCGTATGTTTATCATACAGAAAAACTAAATATTTTGTTAAAATGTCCACATTTATGCAATCGTTTACTGAAAATTTAAATTAAAGCCCAAATGTATTATACAATACCGTAATGTATGCGGTATATTATATAAAAACGTTAACATTTATTTGTTCAAACTACTATTAACGTATGCATGCAAAATGTTAATAATATGTTGATTGCATTTTTTTTTTAAATTTAATTTTCATATTAAAAAGATTTGTTAGTGATTGGTCAAACAGACATTACAACAAGTATTTATCATTAGCTATTATAAAAAATATCATTAATATTCTTAAAAAAACAAATATTAAATATTATAATAGACTTTTTTTAGAGTCGATTATTATTATAATTGACAAATTCAAAAAAAATAGTAGAGTTTTGGGTTTTCCAACATGTTTAATTAGTTAAAATTGAAAAACATTACTCCCTCACCACCCGAGTCGAATTATTATTACTGTGGGTAATAATATTACTTAACTAAATATATGTACCTATGCAACTTTGTTACTGACTAACCAACATGTATTTTAAGGAAAACAAAATACCTATCTCAGACAGGCTATCTGTTACACCCGAATTGGTCATTAGGTATGTTATATATAACTATTATTTCTTGGTAATTTGGTATGTTACATAGAGAAACTGTATGTACTCTGAAAGGTATTCAAAAACCGTTGACTTGAAGACTTGTTATTTGTAAATTAGAACAGAATTATCGTTCGTATTGAAATATTTATACAAAAGGTATTTTTTAAATAATAATGACAAATACGAATACTACACAATAGTATTGTAAGTGTTAAAATATTTTCAAATTTTATTCGAATAGGTGTTGTTGGTACATATTATAATGGGTACAAGACTGTAATTTTTAAAATATTCATTATTATTAAAGGCCGTTAAACTGAGTACAAGTTATAACGCAAAGCCAACAGCATCGTTGTTCCCATAGTGGACCTGCCGGAGTTCCCTGCAACCACCACATCCTCTGGCAAATCTCCAGGTATTGATTTTATACTCTGCAAAGGTGGTGCAAACCCCTTTGAACTTTTGTCCTTTTGACCCAGTTACACATCCAAAACGCCATCGGTCGCAGTCAACAGCTTCCAACACCAAAAAATATAACAGCACACGAAGCAATGCGATATTATCGTCACAGCTCTCTATAATATTGCTCTGTTAATGTTGATATCGTTTTAAAGGGCATGGTTACGTTACTAAAATCATATTAAACAGGCGTTTTGGTGGGGAAAAAACTCTCTTACACGTTTTGGAATGAAAAAAAAAACTCTCTTAACGCCAAATAGACGTTGTAATGGCCGAATAGGTGGGGGAATAAACAATAGAAAAATCCGAAACCGTAGCATCCTATACAAACACTTTACGTCATGTTTTTTTACAGAAAACAAAGCAATTGGAAAATAAATAGTACATGAATATATTAACCACCTCGGTGTAGGGTACCTACACGTTTGACATTAATTTATTACTTTATTACCAATAAGTGTCGTTCTATCAGAAATGCTTTGTGCCCCAAGTACCTACGCTACACATTTCTTCTCTAATTACACGTTAACAAAGACTGGTTTAGGCGGTGAATTGACATGGTGTAATAAACAGCAGGAAACATAATATTGTAAAGCTAATTATTTAATTTATTTCGAGCAAATTCAAAGCAGGGAACGCAGTTATAAATTAAATTTTTTCGTTCCGAATTCGTAAAATTGTGCCCATAAAAATGTTCAGCTGCGACATTAATTAATAATAAAAATGTCTAATAGGAACTCATTTTAGGCATTTTTATAAAAAAACCTACAAAATATTAATTAAAACCTAATTGAAAATAAGGTTAAAACAAAACCACATTACCACTATTATGTATTATAACGAAGCAATACTTATATTTTTTTAGTTTCAATAATACATACCTACCTACAATAAAGTAAATAATTAATAGTTATTGTCTTTATAGTTATTCTCTGTAAAATCGTTTTGTCGTTATTAATCATATTAAATATGCACAATGACAAACATTTTAACTAAGCCTTTCCTTTACATTTTTTTATAACTCAAGAAGAATACATTTTTAAAATTTAACTTTACAAATTGTCTCTGTTCTTCTCCAAAACCTAATAATCGTTTCAATGACATTTTAATATACTTTAAATTAACCAAAGCTCAAATAATAAAAGTTTTACACCAATTTTTTGTATAAGTAACAGTAACTGATATCTGCTAGATATTTGATAAGTGCTAGATTACTTTCTATCGGTAAAAACTATTTGTCACGTAAAATGATGTTACTTTTATATAAAACTACTCTTCGTCCTAATTAGTATTAAAAAAAACTTGTTAACTTTTTTTTAAAACATTTTATACCGTTATTTAATAAAAAGGAAAAATGTAATCTTTATTCTATCATACAAAAAGCCAAGATTAATACCGTATTTTATCCTACCAAGCTTTTTAAGTATTTTATCAGTGTGGATTTTCCTTCAATAAATCAACCATTTGTATTCTAATTAATTCAGTCATTGATTTACATTTATTGAGCATACAATACATATATAAAACATTAATAGTAACCGTACTGTGTACATTATAAATTAACACCATTACATTTTTAGGTATGTGCTTAATCTAATTTGTAATTTGTGTAAAAACTATAAAAATAATAAAACAATGCATACCGAATAAGAAGTAACGATTATGAAATTTATGGATTTCATCGGTATCTGATATTTTGTATACAATAAATAAATGAATACAACATAACCGAATCACTTCATGATAACATATTGTATAGTAAAAACAACTTGTAGTATTAATTAAAAAAATTAAAAAATACAATAAGTATTTGAAATAATGCAATTAACGGTGTTTTACGAGTGCAATATATAAAGAACAGTGTGACAATAATGTAATACAGCAACAGTTAAATATGTATGGTATAAAATATGTTCTCCAATACAATAGAGGATTATTAAAAATTTAATTATTTTCAATCTACAACTTGGTACATATATGAACATTTCTCTCGATTTACTTAAATTGTCAGTTAAACGGTTTAAGTAAATTCGTTTAAAACCCAAATTACAGTAAATTACACTCAATATTAAAATTACTTTGATAAAAAAAAGAACTTTTAACAGACAATTACGTTATATATCATAATTTAATAAATTAACTAACAGAAACGCAAGAAAAAATAACTGCAGGTAATGTACATTGATGTAAGATTATATAGTACTTATAATTAAATTGTTTTTAATTATATTATTTGTTCCTGAGAATAAGAATACTTCAAACTAATATAGATAGACTAAATTCTTAGAACAGAATCACTATTTCACCAACTCCTGAAGAATCTACGTGTAGCTTGTATCTCGTACCATCTTGTATGTCGTACAAACGCACATTTTTGTTTCAAATTGGAAAAACTGCAAAACAAAATCAACAATTAATAATAAATAACTATAAACCAAAATATGATAACTATTCTATTTAAAAAAAAAAATACAATTTGCAAGTTTTCGCTCTACCGTAACATACGTATCAAATAGACACTGTTATGATAGGTGTAAATGGACTTAATTTCGATTTTCGATTGCTTTAAACGGCTTTAGTGTTGTTTGTTGATATTCTAGTGACAATATTGATACCTAATTTTATACTAATGAATTTTACCAAATAGATGTTTCTTGATATACTTTGTTGAAAATCTTGCCCTAGTGTTTTAAGATCTCCGACTGTATTTTTCTATCATCAAAGTCAGAACATTACAAATAGGGTATACATATTAATACAGATCAACTAATACAATTAGTAAGTAAAAAAATAAGTAATTAGTAACAATATTAAAGTAGATACTAATTTAGAAAAACCAACGTATCAGCTATTGACATCATGTTAGTGTTTTGAATTTAACATAAATATCTCATAAAATAAACCGCACATGTAATTTAATAAGTATACAATATGTTATTAATATAATTGACAGTTAAAACATATTTTATTACATTTCAAAATTATGAATGGCAATGCTGTCAGAAGGCCAAGTTTTATCATTCATTGAATTTTGCTGTTTATAGCCTAATACATAAAACAAATATTTATTACTCGATAATATCATAATCGGCGATTGATAACATAGTAGTTTTATAATTATGAAACGGTAGAGCGAGACAAATACATTTATTTGGTTGCTGTTACGATACGCTACACTGAAAAAATATACAATATATGATCGTAAAAAAATGTGCTTATCCCTTTTTCATATTTAATTAATGGCCATTTTTTTTTATTTTTTATTTAGTTCCTATTGTTATTTAATGTTTTGTTTGTTGTATTATTATTAAATTATTGATTTTTTACAAGTATTTTTTTTTATTATATGTTTAAAACATCTTAGTTTTATACGTTTTAGCTTTAAAGGAGCTGCAATGGTATTTATTTTACAATATCGTATATTATTTTTTATTCGGACCCAAATAACATTTTAAGCACAGGCAGATGTTTTTTTGTACAGTTTAAGAGACCAGAAAATGTGTTAAAATGACTAACGTTCCTTTTAATATTAGGAAATATTGACATATTTTTTTTACAATAACAAAACCTACAATACAAATTTCTGAATGATATAATATGTAGTTCTAATAAGTATAAATTGTTTACAATTTCTTTAGGGTATTCTTTAGAAATAGCATTTGTGTAAAACAAGAATATCTCGTTAATAGGACCAATTTTCCAACGTTAAAACATACCTACGCAGTATACGTTTTACTCGCTTCATCATGATTTTAGATGAAAAATACTCATAACAAGAACGAAAGATGACAAGATTTTTGAGACAATATCATTTACTTTTTTTGATAAAACTAATATTTAGCTTAATGTTTGACATTTAAAATCGCACTATTTTACTTTTTTAAAATAGCTATAACTTTTTTACATGTTTGTTATTTTCAAAATCGTATATGATATTGTCCCCATAACATTGTTTTCATTCGATTTCAAAATAAGTGTTTTTGACCTAAAACAACCACGGACTTAGTAAAACGCATTCTGCGTAACCATTTTTAGATGGAAAAAATTATTTAAAATCACTGACAAAGATGCTGTGATAGTCCGAAGAATAAATTAAACCTCTATGGTTCGAACCCCTATGAGTCTAAAACTTTCTAACGATAAACATAAAAAAATATATACTAACCCTTGTTTTAACAATAGAATATAATTTTTTTCAAGTTCCTATTTTTCTAGTTGTCTTATAATGTGCTGGGGATAACGAGACCTAATTGAATGTGCACTCTTTTCTAACACCTCTTTTCTAATGTCGCTATACACATACTATTAGATAAAAAAAGTTTGGAAATATGACAAATTTTCTTTAACGTGATTTCTTCATCAGACGACTGAAATATCTTTCCAGCATGTAAATTTCAATGTTTTTTTTATTCGTTTGTCAAGTCCCAAATTTGACTGGCCTTTTTTTTTCTTAACGACTAAAATTTATGAAAGGAAAAACAATTAATCAAAATATAATAACATTTTTAATTTGAAAATGGCTAATTTATACTTTGACTAGTAATTATTTTGTTGTCACCATAAATTTCTTATTTTAGATCTAGTTGATTGTGGCAAACGTTGTCATTGTTCAGGTAACCATTATCTTGTCATGATACTGCTACACCTTGAAATTAAATAATCATAGATAAGTCTAAAAATGTAATGAATATATTATGAACTTATATTTACAAATTTATACTTAATTAATTATCATGTAAGCTTAACAGGTCTTGAAGGCTCAACACTGCTATCATGAGTTGATGTTTTCTAGACAATTTCGCTGTCTGGGATCTGTCACCAGTCCGTTTTCGGGGGATGGCGGCTCCTTTTTGCCAGACGATTTATCACCAAACACACTGACGACACACACTTGGCCACTCATCTTCCTACAAAGTTAATAATATTTTTAAGTACCTAAGAACTTCATTGTGTTAAATTTAGCTGTAATAGACTATTAAATTTATATTATAATAATTATATAAGTATAGTAATGAAGCGTGTATATAGGCGACAATATATGAACCAAACATTACATAATATGGAACAGAGCTAGTTTTGGGAAAACTGATAAGATTAAAGCACATGTCTAACTTAGCTATGTCTCTCTTGCACAGATCATGGTAACATAATTTGATTTCTATACACGGTCCATTTAATAAAATGTTAATGTACTGTCCAGTGGTCAAAAATAACCAAGGTCTTATTGCACAGCAGACCACCGAAGCTTGCCAACTATTTCACCACCTTGTTCTACAGGCTAGGTAGGTACTATCAGTTGTTTCAAAGGGATTTCTTTTTTAAATAATTAAAAATTAGTTAAGTTTGCAGTATACTGTGTTTAATAAAAATAAAAACTTTGGAATGAAGTAGGTTTTTTTTATGTCAATTAAATAATTGCTTGTCCTACAATTAAATCTCACCTTTCTCTTTAAATCTCTCCTAACTGTACAATTCTTAACTCGCCAATCCATTTAAAATTAACCGGAGAAAACTTTTTTCTCAAACAGGAAACCGAAGAGATTCGTATAGCAATCTCAAAAACAAATTGGGTAATCCCTTTTTTACTAATTTCCAGATGAAATTTAGGAATCAGGCTTCAATGTTTATCATATTAGGTTCAACATTTAACAATAAGTGAGCTTATTTTCTGATAAGCTCTAAAATGTATGAGAATAGTTATTATTTTCATGAACTTAATCACCTGTGTAGGTCGATATTATATTCCTTGCGACATCTGATTTCAATGTCCCTCCAGACGACCACTTTGAAATAATCTTATCATACAAGTATAAATTTGATTAACATATACTAAGTATACAAGTCGAAATTTCAAGTTTTAATACCGAATTTACGTGCGGTGACCGACAAACGGAATAACTATAAAATATTCTTTAGTATTATACTAAAAATACTTACTGAAATCGCCATGCAAAACAAACCATCACGACAACTAACAAATTCATTTTGTAGAGGTGTTTTTGACGAACAGCGGTGCTAGTTTACTTGCCATTAATTACTAAATCTATTCAGGACAATATTATGCTCGTTTTTAAACGTCATTCAATTCCATTCCAATTCAAGTATCAACAAACAATATTTTATATTACTGTTATTAGTAGTTAAAATATTACCGTTAGCGTCAGGCGTGTTATTAGAGTTTGATAAGAAATTAGCAGGGCTACCACAGAATAAAACCAGAAGCGAAACTTAGGCCGAGACTGATAAGTGTCTGACATTTTGTTTTCACAGATTGCGAACGGTAACTGTGAACATAACAATATAACTGTTATGTCATGTTTTTTTCTGGAATTATTTTTATAGTCCATTATCGGTTTCCGGCCGCCAAAAACAATATGGCAACGGTAATCGGCCTTATTCGGAGGCTGATTAGAACCCTTGTAGTTTTTTTCAAAGTTTCCCTTCCGGTTTTTCTGTGGGCCGCTACCATGAATAGCCCGACAAAAAAATTGTACTTCAAATATTATTTGTGAAAACAGTAAACATCTTATTTTGAAAAACACAAGATGAATATATTTTCTATCGACATTAAATAATAAGTTGGTTCTAAAAAGTTGTATTGTTGCCTTATTTATTCATATTCGGCCATCTTTGTATAGAATCCGCGTTGAAGTAAGTGTCGAAAAACTCGACTGGCGTCGCCAAACTCCTATTTTTTTTTTTTAATAAATGACATATTTTTTTATACGAATAAAAAAAATGCTAACTCAATAACGCATATATTGTTATGCAGATTGCATAGACCCTTTTTTTTTGGTTTATTCTATATTGGTGGAAAATCTAAATAATTTTTTTTTAAACAAATATCCTTTCTTTGTTGTTGTAAGTCCTTGATTTGGTCAAATCCTATAAAATACGGTTGGTTGTATTTTATTTGGGTTAATCGCTGAGAAATGGTTTGCATTAGTTTTCTCGAAACAGTATTTTTCGTTAATATATTTTAAGGCCATTTGTCAAGGCAAAGTTTCAACTATTATAGTAGTATTATTTAAAACTGTTGGGTGTGTTTAAATGTACCACGAATGAAATTAAATAGAAATTATTTTTATAATTTGATTAAATATACTGTTATTTATTTTTTGATAAATGCTCGAGTGAGCTGCAGTAATCTAAGATTATAAGATAAGTCAGTGTTATAAAACAATACTTTTAAGCAGTATTATAGCTTAAATATATTTTGAAAAATTAAAAAATTTATTACTCGGTACCTTACAGATATAATAACAAAACTAAAAACATCTGTAGTCACTTTTTCTTAAGAGAAAACCCAAAAATCCTAATTAAGTGATTAAATAAACAGTATTAGATTAGATAAACGATTGCGACTAAGAAATAATATTTTTCCCATATCGAATGGTATTTTTTTAACAGCGATTGTATTATTTTCAGTTTTAATAATTCCTACAGAACTTGCAGTTAGTAGGCGAAGGCGAAGTTAGAAGTAAAATAAAATTGATAGCTAATATAACGTATATATTTAAAGTATTCAGTACGATTTATAATCATAAAATTATACTTAAAATACTTAATTAAAAAGGTTGAAAATAATAATAATTCTTAATAAAAGTATTCGATAGGTACTGTATTAATGACAAAACTAAAACTCATATTGTATAATACAATTTGTATAGTTAATGGGCCTATGGCAAAACCAAAATGTATTCGAGTAGGTTATACACACATCACGCTATATGCCGTTAGAAACTGTCGTGCAGCTTGTTGCTGTTGAAAAAGGAAGAACTTTCCTAACATCTTATATGCCCCAGCATAATATCTTACAACATTATAATATTATTATTATTATTATGTATAACATTACTCGAGTTGTCGGTTGGGAAATCGTTTTATATACAGTATATGTATATATGTTTTATATTGCAGCCGCCTCTACCTGTAGGCTGTACAACATAATATTAATATTACTATATTGTGTTTTTATTCCTTTCCTTCTTTTGTTCGGTTGGGTTTTTTGGGGAGTGCGTCGAAATCCGAGTACCGCCGGACGTCTGCGCAGTGCGCATCGTACCGCGGCACGACGGGCGGGCGGGCGGTAGCGGAGGTAACCTACCGTATTGATCGCGCTTCCTCCACCGCACCCCACCATAGGGTCTTCCTCCCGTCATCGGCCAACGACGGCCTCCCCCCTTCCTCCACACCGTTCCCCGCCCGACTGACGGACGCTCCCGAAATACTGCGCCGACGGCCGACCGCAGCGCTGTTATCCTGGCCATCCTGTCCGGGACCGAACGGCTGGCCGCTCGTGGCTGCGGCGATTGCAGATGTCCCGGTATCGCGGTCCTCGTCGGACGTACTCGTTCCTATTCTACCTCCACCGTTGGTGTTCATAGCCGAGAGTTCAACACAGTCTCAACTCACAACAGCGGCGCCGTTTTCCGTCTAGTCGACATTGCTTTCAAAAGGAAAAAAAAAATACCAGTCAGTTTCCAAACGATGGCCGACAAAACCAGAAAACGAAAAAGTAAGTACGCCAACAATAATAATTGTTTAGTTTTCCCGTTTTTAAAAGTCCTCCTGGCGGTTTCGTTAGAATGTACTATTTTCACAGTCGTGTCGAAAAATCACAAACAATAATATTATTATATAAAATATTGCACAATATTCGAGTTTCCCCTAAACGCCTCCGTTGTATTATTGCCCAATAAGATCGGTTAAAGGCGGCCGTTTGGTTATCAAACATATTATTATCTATTATCACAACAACACCTGAAGATGGTCAAAATTCGTTTAAATTCAAATTTATTATGCTTAATATTTACTTAATAATACTAATTCACACGAGAAATTGTCTAAAATTAGTTACAGTAAAATGTATTCCATAAGTAAATTTGTTGGATATTTAAAACAACATGTTACGCGTTTTACAATATTTAGGAAAAGGGTATAACTATAGATTTTTTTAAAATACAGAATTCATCGCTGTTGTAAAATACTGTTTCTAAGGCCTGTAAAATAACTTTAAAAATAATAAAATGGCATTAATGTTCAAATAAATGTATATCTCTTTGTTGATGAATTTTTGAGTCCAAATTTTTCAACCTGTACAAAACATATTCGTAGATGTATTTTACCAATATTTGACAATTTCTAATTAAATATGCGATTAAAAAATTTATAATTCTGGAATAATATATCTACCTCTTAATATCTTAATTTAATAATCAGTACCACGTAAAACTACATAATTGTAAACCAAAACATTTTTATGCTTTTGAACCTTGCAGTCAAAGCCTTATTCTTAGTAAATATAAAAACAAATTCTAGAATATTAAGTATTGTAAGAAGTAAATGATTCATACATAACAGACTTATTTCGATGTTGTTTTAACAGTGTGCAATTTTTAATAAATTAATTGAGCTGATAATTTAATACTATTCTCTACGATATTATTGATAATAAATGGACCGCTTTAAGCCGATTACCTTAACAATTAGCATGTGATCACTTTGGCATAAGCCGAATTGATAGCTGAATAAACCATGAATTTATGGCCTCGAGGCTACTAAAATCCTATTATTATATTAAGTTAAAATAATATTGAATTGAAATATGAATTCTGTTATTACTTGGGTGTATTAGTTGTTTAGATTTTAGTAACTCTCTTATTGTGATAAGGTGTTGATAAGATGGTTGGTTGTGGGCTGTGGCTTATTAGTTAAATAGCTGAATAAATCTTGTGTCCAAAAATTTTAGCATATTATGTGAGTAATAGTTGTTTGGAGTGAAAAAAGATGATTTAGCTAAGTGTCTTGACTCCGAGAAATGAGTATCGAGCGGTGAAACGATAAAAATGACAGCAGCGTTCTCTATCCGTTCAGTTTATTTACTATCCATTGTAGACATATTATGGACGCCCTCTTGTGGTAAATACCATGCACGGTACTGAGCTCAGCGCTCTCTTGTGGTAAATACCATGCACGGTACTGAGCTCAGCGCTCTCTTGTGGTAAATACCATGCACGGTACTGAGCTCAGCGCTCTCTTGTGGTTAATATCATGCATCGTACGGAGCGCAGCGCCCTCTTGTGTACTAAAGCACTTCTAGTAGGATACATTGATTTGAGCCATATCGAATTTCTTCCAGATAGCGTTACATTTGTAAAGCGAATAGTTTTATCCAATTTTTTTAAATATCTTGTTTAGAATAAAAAACTATACAATAATGCAATTTTAAAATTACAAAAAAAGTGAATATTAAATTTTTTATTGCATTCTAATGGGACTAATTGTGCTGTTGTCCATTGCAGTGCCGAGTGTCCTCATGCATGGTGTCCATAGATGACACCATGAATAGGGGTGTAAACGGGTGAAGTACTTTACAAAGATCGGATCTTGTCATTTCATTTTTAGGTACTCGTTAGGTATATGGTAGTATGACTTAATTATGAATTGGGTTTCTTAGGCGGTTATGAAAAATTCAACAAATTAATTTACAAGTTTTTTTTTCTAAAAAATAGTGCAAGACAGATTTTGTGTTTTTATTGTCAAAAAATTAAAAGATCATGCTTAAGTTAAAATAAGCTATTAGATTATTTGGGCATTTCAAACAAATCTTTAATTAATACAAATTTGATATTTTTATTATTTTTTCGTAAGATATTTGTTTGAGTTAAGTTATGTTAGTATTACTTTTACTATTATAACCCGTCGTTGGTAAACATGTTTGTGCAACGCTCACACATTAGCATTTTGAACGCCAGTCGTATTAATGTTTGTTAATTGGCTTGATTCTTTTTTACTTTCAAATAATAAGTTAACTAATAATTATAAAAAAAAAAGAAACCGCCAACTATATTTCCTCGGGAGTTATCAGTGAACCAAGTTGAATGTACCGATAAAGTGAGCGCTGACAGTTTATCAACTGTATTTTACATATTATTATTCTTCTTCTTCTTCTTGGGTTTTCCGGCCATCAAGACCATCCCATTACACATCCAATCCTCCAGCCTTCCCTATCCACCGCTCTTGTTTTCCAATCCCATCCTCCGTTCAGTGTTTCCACGTCTTTTCTTATCACATCTTCCCACCTCAATCGTGATCTTCCCAGTGGTCTCCTGCCTACTGGGTTCTCGTCCATGATCATCCTTATGAGATGGTTCTGGCTTCGCATAGCATGTCCAGCCCATTGAAGTCTTCGGCTTTTGATTACGCTTAATATATTTTCTTTCCGGAACATCCTTTCCAGTTCCTCATTTTTTCTCGTTTTCCACTCTCCCGTTTCTCTGTCCATAACAGGTCCAAAAATCTTCCTTAAAACTTTCCTTTCAAAAACCAGTAATTTCCTTTCCTCAGTCTTTCTCAATGGCCAGGCCTCAGCCCCATAAGTGACAACTGGGCGTATTAAGGTTATGTATAGTTGTATCTTCATTTCTATTGACAGAGATCGTGATCCTAATATTTTTGTGAGTCCATAGAAACATTTATTTCCTGATAGGATTCTTGATGCTATTTCTTTGTCAGTCTCATTTTTTTCTGTTAATATTGAACCCAAGTACTTAAACTGTTTGACTCTACTGAACTCATATCTACCAACTTTCAGGTGTGGAAAAACGGCCACACTATCTCTTCTACCAACAATCATATATTCGGTTTTTTCCTCGTTTACTTGTAACCCTACTTTTTTTGCCTTTTCCTCCAAACGAGTGAATAGTGATCTTAAATTATCTTGTGATTTGCTCATTAGTACCACATCATCTGCATATGCTAAAATTGCTATAGTCGATTCTTGTAACTTAACACCTTCTTGTGGTTGAATATACATTTCTCTTACTACTTTCTCTAAAATTAAGTTAAATAGAATTGGTGATATTGAGTCTCCCTGTCTTAACCCAGATTTTATTAGTATTGGCTCTGTTTCTGCACTTCCTACCTTAATTTGTACGAATGTTTCTGTGATGCTTATCCCAATAAGTCTTATTAATTTTTGTGGTAACTTAAATTCTTTCAGGCAATTAATTAGGCTTGCTCTATGTACGCTATCGTATGCCTTTTTGAAGTCGATAAAAAGAACATGTATCTCTTTGTCGAACTCCCAAGTTTTTTGGAACAGTTGTCTGAGGATAAATATCTGATCTACTGTCGACCTTCCTGGTCTGAATCCTCCCTGATAGTCAGCTATAGTTTCTTCTGCTTTACTCTTTAACCTTGATAGTATGCAGTTCGAAAAGACTTTGTATGTTACATTTAGGAGCGCTATTCCCCTATAATTATTGCAGTCCTGTTTATTCCCTTTCTTGTGAATTGGACATAGCACTGCTGTCTTCCATTCTGTTGGTAATTCCTCATTTGACCATATTCGGCAAATCAGTTTCCACACTCTAAATGAGACTTCTTCTCCTCCTTTTTTTAAGAGCTCTGCTTGGATCTCATCCTCCCCTGGTGACTTGTGTTTCTTCAAATTGTTTATTTGACTTTTTACCTCATCTAGCGTGGGTTCTGTGCAATCTATAATATCCCTATTGGCTAGATCAAAAATAAAGGTTTCTTCTGGTTCTTCACAATTCAACAGTTCTCTGAAGTAGTTACCCCACTTTTTTGCTAGCTCATCGTCAGTTGTTATCAATGAACCATCTTCGTGTCTTAGGAACCTTTCTTTCTTTTTGTACTTTCCTCTTAGAGTATTTACCCGACTGTACATGTCCCTGGTCCTATGTGTTCTGTAATCTTGTTCCGCGCTGTTCATTATATTCTGTATGTATTTCCTTTTTTCGTATCTTATGATATTGCTTGCTTTCCTCTGTCGAGTTCTAAAGCTTATAAACAAGTTTTCATTGCTTGTATCATTTAACCATTGTTGCCTTGCAAGGTTTCTTCTATGTACTGCTGCCTCACAGATCCCATTGAACCATGGCTTAGATTTCAGTTTTTTATTCCCTAGGGTTCTTGTTGCCACGTTATTTACCGTCTCCTTTATTTGTTCCCATTCTCTATCCACTGCATCGTTGGATAACCTCTGTTTATTTTGCAACACGTTCTTAATATTGTCTTCAAAAACTTTGCTTATGACCGGGTCCTCTAGTTTATTTATATCATATCGCCCGTCTTTCTTTTGTCAATTTTAAATAATCTCTTGAGTTTTACTTTTATCCATATACCAAGTAATAGGTGGTCGGAGCCTATATCCGCACCACGTAGGGTTCTTATATTTACTATGCTATTTTTAAACCTATTTGAGACTAACACATGGTCAATTTGATTTCTGTGCCTTCCGTTCGGAGAGATCCACGTGTACTTATGTATATCTTTTCTCGGAAACATGGTACTTTTTATTACTAGCCCTTTTCCTATCGCAAAGTCAATTAATTTTGTTCCGTTATCATTAGTAATTGCGTGTAAGCTCTGGGATCCAATATAATTCCTGTATTCTGCTTCTTGACATAATTTTGCATTTAAATCTCCCAGCACTATTCTTAAACTTCCCTCTGATGAATCATATACATCGACTAGTGTGGCATAAAAATATTCTTTCTCCTCCTCATCCTTCTCTTCAGTGGGTGCATGTACATTAATTAATACAATATCGGCATTCTCTGTTTTTAGAGTTAATGTTGAAAGTCTTGGGTTAATATCTTTGAAGTCTTTTACTGCACGGATAATTGACTCATGTACAGCAAAGCCCGTTCCTAAACTGTGGCCACGCTCACAGTTACCATTAAATATGGTTGTTTGTGATATCTTAGTTGTCATGACACCTTCCCATCTCACCTCTTGCAAGGCCACGCACTTCATTCTATATTTGTCCACTTCCCTTACTAATTCCAAAGCCGCACCAGGTTTGTACATGGTCCTTACGTTCCATGTACCACAAAGCAAGTCCAAATTCCGGTTTCCAGTTCTTTTTCCCTTATCTCTATCCCAAGGCTTGGTGTGTGAATCCTGAACATATGATTTTTTTACAAGGCAGGGTTGTTAGCCCTGCGCTTAACCCCCAATCTGGAGGACCAGGCTACCCCAACCAATAAAGGTCAGAGTAGAGCTATTGCAATGTACTCTAAGTACATTGGGCGATGGGAGCGCCACTTTCCCTACGCCTCAGCTCAGAGCCCCGGGTTTGCTAAACCCGTAACACTAAGTGTTCCCCTGAGGGTACATATTATTATTGTCACATATTATTGTGTATCCTGTAGTAACATAATGATCTCCTCAGAAAGTGACTCAGTTAATTATTTTAAATAATTTATAATCATTAAATTTACATTTTAGGGGTTTTTACATTTATTTCATTAATTTTTATTATTTTGCACTGACAATTAAAAAAAAAAATAAAATTGCAGTTTTTAATTTTTATTTATTTTTTAATAATAGAAATTACAAAAAATATATTACCAATTGGTAGTGAGTACAAAGATACTTATTTCTATGTATGATTTAATGTTTTGAGTTTATCGAGTAATTAAAAATAATGAAAAAAGTAACGTGTGGCGCTCACAGTTTAGCAATAATTGTGTTCCGTAATATAGGTTTACCAACGACGGGATAAGAATAATACTTCAAATGATTTGGTATAAGATTGGTTAGAGGAAAAAATCTGAACTATTTAAGTTAAAAATATAATTAATACATATTCGTTTTGATCGCATGTTTGCTTGGTTTCGGTTTACATGCCGAATTCGGGGTATTGCATTTTAGTTTAGGTTTCGCTTTGGCCTTGGTTCTCTCAATAACTGGACACCCACAATTGCCTTGACGTCTGGGCTTTGGTTCGTCTTCAGGACAACATTTAGTGTATACTTTTTCTGGTTTGTAACACATTATTGAACGTTTACATAGTTCATCAGCGTATCTTGCGGCTTCGTTGCAGCTTGGCTGTTTCGGCAAGCAGAATACATTATTTTTAGCATTATGTTCTGAAGACGTTCTTATCTGCCTTATTGTCAATAGTCTATTATGCACCAGTCTCAATGATTTCCACATAGACATCTCTAGATATTTAAATAGAAATTTACAAATGTAAAAAGTAATTGCTTGTTTATTGTTTTGGTATCCATGTTAATAGATTATGTCGTACTCTAAGTAACCATAAAATAACTGAATAAAAATACTAGAATAATATTTTTATTTATTTACAATTGAGAAGAAAAAATGCATTACATATTTTGTTTTGATGCGTTAGCCGAGAAGGTATAGTTTGACAATGATGTGTTTTTTTTGTGCGTCTGAAGTCGCGAAAACGTTTTTCCTGAGAACCAATTTACTTGAGTAGCAACTCTATCAACCCGTAATTGTGTACTTCTGGTACTTTGGTGGGTCAGGAGTAGGAAAGTTCACCCCTTTCCCTTCAAAATCTAGAAAAATACCAAATACATTAGTATATTTTTAAATATAAAATTAAAACTGCAGCACGCTATAACTTATTTAGCAATGAACTAGTTCTAAATTTGTATGTAATATTCTTCAGTTAATGTTTTTTTCCAAGGGATAACGTCCTTTAAGACCAGCCCTCCAAGTATAATATTCCTCCATCTATCTCTGTCCTATGCTGCTTCCTTCCATTGTACTCCAGCTTCTATCGTTTATACTTTTTTAGCTACACAGTCCTCCCATCTTAAGCGAGATATTCCCAGAAGTCGTTTTGCTACCGGGTTGTTTTTGATTACGGTCCTTATTATTGTTCCTTGTTTCCTCTGTACATGCCCTGCCCTTTAGCAGTTTCCTGATTGAGGTTTCTTTTGTAATGTTAGGGCGTTGAAAAAGGTCCTGGAGTTCTCGATTATGTCATTTCCTCCATTCCCCGGTTTGATCATCCTTGCATGGTCCAAAAACCCTTCTCAGTATTTTTCTTTTGAAAATCTCTAACCTTTTAGCTTCAATGCAGAGCAGCGAAGGTATTTTTTTCTGTTTTCCTGAGAGGCCAAGTTTCTGAGCCATATGGCACCACTGGGCGTATCAATGTTGTATGTATCTGGACTTTATGGTTCTTTGATACAGCTTTTGCACTTATTGATTTCTCCAAACCATAATAGCAGTTATTACTTTTTTTTGAGTCTGGTATCAATCTCTACTTTTATATCATTGTCTTCAGTTATAATACTATCAATAAACTTTAAAAAGTATTTATTGTTATGATTTTCAAAACCATGCTCAATAATAGAAAAAGCTAGTACAGTGGGGTCGGGGCATAGTGGGAACGAGGAAGTCTCAGGTCTACAGAAATTATTATAACTTGATAATAAGTGATAAAATCACTTTTAAATAATCGCTTTGATGCGAATCTGTAAAAAGTAGGTTCAACCCAGAGTAAGTAAAATAAAGAAAAAATGTTTATCCCTCCTATGGGAAAAGGCATACGATATTTTTTTGGTTTACCAATGTTTATCGGAACCACTATGTATAAAGAATATTCCCTACAAATTTGGAACTAATTCGACTATTTTTTTATAAAGTTATAAAGCATTGTAATTTTAAGTTCAAATTTTTTATTATTTTTAGTGTTTTTCTCAATTTTGAAAGGGAAGGGGTGAATTAAAAAATAATTTGACCCAATAAAGTACCTTTCAGGTATGGTTTCTGATCTATAGAGTTGCTAACAGAGAAATCGGTTCAGCGGCTGAAAAGGTATTGTGGGTAATACATACAAAAAAAAAACTAAAAAACATCATTGTAAATACAATATCTTTCTCAGCTCTGCATCGATGCTAAAAAATAAAAGCTAGTACAGAGGGGTCGTAGCATAGTGGGGATGGAGAGGTCACAGGTCTACAGGAATTAATATTACTAAAAGTGACAAAATCATTTTGAATAAACGCTTCAATGCGAATCTGTAGGTAGTATGTATAAACCATACATAGCAACCTAAAAACTGCCTAAGGTCAAAGTGTAATTTTTCCTTGAAAAAAAATATTTGACTACAGATTTTTGAGTTTTTTATGTTATAGCCCCATTCTAGATCTACCATAGGTCTAATTTTTATACTTAAATATAAAAAAGCAAAAGAAAGAAGAAGACTCCACCCCTTTTCTAGGAATGTACAATAATTGTTTAGGTTGTCGAATGTTTGTCGGTAGTACTATGTCTTAAGAATATTCTATACAAATTTGGAACTAATTGGACTATTTTGAAAAAAGATATGGAGCGCCATAATTATAAGTTGAAAAAAATGTAAATTTTTCGGGTGTTTTTCTCAATTTTGAAGGGGAAGGGGTAAATTAAAACAAATTTTGACCTAATAAGTACCTTACAGGTATGATTTTTGATCTATAGAGTTGCTAACAGAGAAATTGCTTCAGTGGCATAAAAGATATCGTTGGTACCGACACAAAACATTTTTTTTTTAAAATAAAACATTGTAAATACAATTCCTTCTCTACTATCGCATCGAAGCTTAAAACACATCATTATAAATACAATACCTTCTCAGCTAAAAAAATATCATGAATTTCGTCTCATTTTTTCATATATAAATATATATAGAACTGTTACTTCCCACGCCCCAATTGCTTTGCCACAACTATGTCTCGACTCTACTGTCTTACTATCTAACACGTTGGTTAAATTCTTTAAATTATTAACCTCAACTCCGGATGGTTTTTATTCTAAATTTTTGTTGTGTTATCCACTTTGAATAGTACATTCTTATAATCTTCATTAACCTGCCTTTAAAAGCTAATTACCTATTCTTATAGCATCGCTTATAATAAATTAAATATCAGTTAATAGTTTATTATACATCTTAGTATAATATTTGGTGTAATTTGTTTTATTTTACCATTATTTATTTTTAGATAGTTCAGCAGAGTTTAAGTCTGCTGACAAGCCATGTAGCAGTTACACAGACAAAAGTTTATGTTCATTGGCTGATCCAATAGAAGTATGTCGCAATGTATCAGAAGAGCCGAAACTAACCGATAATCAAAGAACCATTCCTCTACCATGGATTGATGAAAAATCAATTAGTAATTCTAATAAAAATATAACTATACAGACTAAATATACTATTTTAACTTCTGATGTAAAAATAGATGAATCTAAAACGGGAAAAAAGGATGCTTATAAAGCATCTACGAGTGGTTGTCGCAAAAAATATGTCAAAAAGAAAATAAAAAGAATAATAATGTACAGTTCAACAGACGAAGACAGTGATGAAAACTTTGAAAAAAAACCAAATCCTAAACTGAAAAAATCTTGTACGTACGAACCTAAAAATTTTAATTATAATTTGATTTGTTTATAACTACAGTTCATATATTTCTTTTCAGATACTTCTAGACTTACACGTTCAAAATTTGGTAAAGTTTTAAGTGGTAATTCAAGTAAAAACATTGACGATGTCCAAATTAATTCTAGTAATGTTATTAAAAAAAGTTCAGTTGGTTGTAAAATAGGTATGCTCCAAAAAAATTGTACTATACAATTATATAAATTCGTTTTAAAAAATAATTTCTTATTAGCGCTTAATAGTAGATCTGCTATTAATTTAACAAACAACTCAAAAAAAAAAAAAATTAGTCCTTACTGTATTTACCACACAATAGTACAATAATTAAATTTAAATATATTTTTGTTTGTTTTTCAGAAAATTTGAACGAGTTAAATTCTTCCAACGAATCGGGTTATTCACCTAAATTTGCACACACATTGTCTAACTCAACAGAAATACTTTATAACGACTCAGAAGACTTAATGGTGGCTGATAATCAAAATCCAATTCCTTTGCCGTGGATTAATGAAGAATCTAAAAAAAGCAACGACTTACAGATTACAGATGCTGTTTCTAGTTCTGACAATTTAAATATGGTTGGTGTAGATGCTGGTCCCAGTGACATGTATAAAGCGTCTACGAGTGGATGTCAAAATAAATGTGTCAAAAAAAAGAAAAGAAGTATTATTAAGTATAAATCGAGCTCAACTGAAGAAGAAGAGAGCGATGATAATTTTGAAAAAAATAAATTGTCGGATCATCCAACATCTTGTATGTATTGGTTACCTTTAAATTTAATGTATTCTTTGGATATAGTATATATTCTACAGATGTTGTATTTTTAGACATTCCCAGAGCTGCAGCAGTCAAAGCTACAGCCGCTATTGCTAAACACAGTACAAAGCATAAACGACTTAAGACGTGTGAACACGAAATGGAAAGACGCCGTAAGATAGTGAAAGAGTGTAACGTAAGTTAATAGTATCAATATAGACTAATTATTTTCAAATAAATACTTTTCAAAAATACATGCATGATTAAATTTTTAAATATTAAATTACATTAAATTTAATAATAAAAATACAATTAAACCATAAACCTATATTATCTTATTGGATTATTGTATATGTATTTTAATGTATAACTGTATTCTATATGTAGGGCTCAGATGAAGATGAAACCGATTTGGAAGATTACGGTATACTTTTAAATGATGTATTTATCAATATCTATTTAGAAGACGAGTTTCTTATTGTCGAAGATCGTTGTGTGAGTATAAAAACAAGGAAAAAATATTTTTGTTCATTCTAGATATAAAAACAAATTTTAATTATACTTGCAGCTAGTGTACTTACCTGCTAAACCTACAGTATACAATATTTTGTGTGATTACGCTAATAAAAAATCTGCGTAAGTATCAGTGCGACCTTATAAATTATCTTATTTTTTATTTATATGAGTCAATTTATTTTTTAGAGATTTGGATGTTTTGAATATTGTCTTGGACGCTTTTAATCAAGCTTTAGCCATGTGGTGTTTACGTCGTATTGAGAAGTTACAGTATCAAGAAGTAAGTTTTTTAGTATATAATATTATTAATGTTTATATTTTATTAAACGAGTCTAAATAATTTTGATGACAGAATGTTTTATCGAGATCATTTGTACGTCATCATATTTTCACGTTAGTCTATTACATTGTCTGTATATGGTTTAGTTTTTATAACTAATGATAATTTTAAGACATTTTTATAAATAACTATACACTTACGAATACCTACAGTTATTTAAATCTTAAACGTCTCCCAAGTATGAAACTTATGATTTTATAACAAACATCTCATCTAGCTTAAACTATTAATTTTTCTAAGAAAACTATACATTTTTTTCTATTTGTACATTTATCTTCACCGTGATAATTCTGCGTTGTCAATTTAAAATACTTTTGAATAGTGTCATTAAAATCTTTTACCCGATTAAATTATCGGCGTTATACATAAAAAATATAACATAAAAAAAAAACAAAATAATCCCATAATGCTACTAAAATCGTGTAGATGATTGAATTATATTTATATAATCAAATGGTCAAAATACAAAACAAATAACGTTCTAAATGCCACGTTTTGTTATTTTACACTCTTTTTAGATGGTTGAAAGGTTTCCAGGTCGCCCCATGTTTCACATTTACGGTCTCCCACATTTTGTCCGATTTATATGTAAGTGATTTACCATTATTATGCAATGTTATTTTAAACTTTTTTTTTTGAACAAGTTTTTTGCATGTTGTTCATTATATCTAAGTTGTACATATTTTGTTTGACTGTTACTTTCAACTTGGCTATTAAGAGGGAAGTTGAAGGAAGATGATGTGTGGATCATGGAGGGAAATGTAGAAGAAATTTGGAATAGGGTAGTAAATGGTATAAAAAAGGTGGCAGTAGATGTTGTAGGTGAGATTAAAGGTAGTATGCCATGTAATAAGGAAACGTGTAGTGGTGGATAATGGAATACAGGAAATAGTATTAAGGAAAAAGTTTAAAAAATAGCAAAAGACAAAAAAGTTCAAAAAGTATGATAGTTTGCGTGAGTAGTTGGGAACAAAAGAAGGAGGAAAGGAAGTTTAAAAAATGTGTGGTGTATGAACGGGGAAGATAAGGAAGTGCTGGCGTGTGTATCATGAGGATCTGAAAAAGAGATGGAAAGAGTACTTTGAAAGGCTATTGAATCAGGAATTTCCAATGGGTGAGAGACTTAAAGAGTGGAGAGCAGCGCTTGAAGAGAAAGGAGTGACGATTAGTAGGAGTAAAATAAAGGCAATCGTGTTTGATTTAGGAGAAAGTTATAGGGCAAGACAGGTAATGCAGATAAGTGATGAGTTTCATTAATTTTGGAATAAATGAGAGAGAATAAGTTGAGTTGGTTCGGTCATGTTATGAGAACTGACAAGAGATGAGACAGGTACAGTGAGAGTTGTTATGAAGATGAATGTAGAGGGAGAGAGACCGTTAATGGGGAAGACCGAAGAAAAGATGGATAGACGGAATAGAGAGAATCTATCATTGTCTTTTATAATTTGAACAGACTGCGCTTTTTAAATATTTTTATTAGCTTTTTTACAATATTGTGAATTTGTAAATCGATCAACCTGAAATGTTGAGTAAATTATTGCTGTATTTGTTGTAGCTTAAAAGGTAATGAATACATGAGTTCTAATGTTTTATAAATTTACTTTTTTACTGAGAAAAACGAAAAAATCGAATGAAACAAAAACACGTATTTTGTCTATGAAATGATATATATACTTATATAATATAATAGTTTTTGATTCATTTACTTGCTTTTTACAATTACTTTACATTTTATGTTTTATACATCATTAAATTAGTAATAAAACTTTTTTTTTTAAATCATTTAACTATAGTGTTTTATAAGTTAAATTACCACAAAACTTTAATTACATATTAATTGTATTTCATTTATATACTTGCGTGTATTTATTTTTTTAAGTGTGTCTGCCAAAATTATTTCGCATGATGGAAAAGGACTCGCCAAGATTTAGGGGATTCATTATCGATTTCATTAAAGGATTTTTAGAGTAAGTAAATAATTATTGTTCGTTGAAAATGTATTTAATTTTACTATAGTACTTTAAGTTCTATAATTTTCCTGATTTTTTTTGTAATCGGCAAATTAAAACTAAAAAATTTATATAGATATACAAATATAATTATAAAACATTTCGGTTTTTTGTTGTTGTAGATTTATTGCCGAAGAGAACTATGTAGTAAACCGCGATAAAGATTACATCAACGTGTTGCCCGAGTACTACAGGATGACCTACTGTCCGATTCGTATAAAAAAAGATAAACCTCAGCGTCGTTAATTTCCGTTTAGGTATCTATACTGTATTTTTCATATATAATATTCTATTTTCAATAGTAAATTATTGTTTTTTTTTGTTTTGCTCGTAAATCGAACATTTAAGTACTTGTGTGAAATTTAGAATTTTCTACAATTTCGAACAAAAACTTGAACTTTTTTTATGGAACATATATCCGTAATATTATAAATACCCTGCTGAGATCATATTTTATGAAATCGGTATGCATGTTTTGAATTTATAACTATGTGTTTTTTTTTAATTTTATTTTTTTACAGTTTCATCTATATTTATTACATACGGGTTTACTACCATTATATTATTTTTTTATTTACGCTAGATATTTTTGTTATGTCAATTTTTTTATTTTTTTTTATTGAGTTCCAATAAATTTGATGAAATGCTGAATTTATTCTACATTTTTATTTTTTATTTTTAATTTTATTTCTTTATTCACTTTTTGTTTGTTTTATGATTATATTGACGTAAGAAATAAAAAAGTAAGTACTTGACGTTACACGGAGGTGTATGGGATAGGAACCACTGCAAAGTTCAATCTTTAGTTACATCAAATAACAGAGATGTCACGCTGTATTTCTTTTTTATTAAAAATAATTTTAATTTTCAGAAATAAGTAATTCATATTAACTTAAAAGTATTAGTTTAGAGTTTTATTCTCCCAAGTGTCAACTTTTAAGTATCTAATTAGTAATCATTCAATTTTGCGAAGTTTAAATTTAATTTTAAAATAATTTTTTTTAACTTGACTAAGAATATATATATATATATTGTACGCTTGTGCACATTAATTAAATAAAACTTAACGGTTTCAAGCAAACATCGTTGCCAGGCAGTTAGGTCAAGTGAAAGTTACATATTTGACAAAATATAATAAATCCTTTGAGAATAGTTATGTTAACATTTATATTCAAACATTAGATATTTAACTAAAAAACTAGTTATAACGTACTCAATTGAAAAGCTTAAAATTTATCTTGTAAATTATTTAAATTTACTTAATTTTTTAACATTTAAACAGTTTTATCTCTTTGTAAAATACTCAATGCCATAATTTATAAACGTTTTCCAGCTTGTATTACATTTTATTTGTTCAAGTTTAACTACAACTATTAATTGCATAAGAGAATACTGTTAAAAACTGTAGGTATCTTACAAATTGTGAGTTGTGACTAATTGCACGTGTTAACAAAGAAAACCAAATACATTTTTGGAAAAACTCAATAACTTATAAGCAGTGTGAACGGGATGAATACAATCGATTATAGGAGAAATACGCTTCTGGATTCTTGTTACAATATATAATTGCTCTTCGTTTCAATAAGATTCATTCGATATATACACCGTGGGTTCTTTCAATAGCGAGTGGTTTGGTGCGATCAAAAATTGGTACTGGCTATATTTTCAAATTGGTCGCGAAAGACCAATATTAACATAGTTTTTGCTAAATATTATCAACAAGTAGAGAAGATGAAGAGAAAATTATCATATTTGAAAGTATTTTGAACGAGGGCAGAAAACAGAAATTTGCAAACAAATTCATCAAAAATCTATCATGACGAACAAAGAAATCGTGGCGGTCAAATGGCGTCATTGAAGATTCAAAGGGTAAGAAAATTTAAGTGGAAGAGGCATTGAACCAACGCGGGATTTCTCGGGTATGAAAATTGTTATTCATTTCTTTTTTAATTGTTTTTAATCAAAACACTAGTACTTTGATAATTTCACTATAATTTGTTCTGGTACTAAGTTGGAATGGTCCATTGCTATTAGTATATTACTTAACAATGATGACAAGAATATAAACTAGTAAATTAGTATTAAAAAAAATTAGATTTACTAAATTAAAAATAATGTTTTCGGAATTTAGTGTTGTGTTAAGAAATGACGGATTATTTTCTAAAAGAACAATATCCATAAACTTTTACTACAGTCTACGTGAATCCAAAGGCTTAAAAAGAGTCTTAGTCTTCTTTGTATGGGTCTCGGAATGTTGGGTAGCATACAAGAAAACTTAACAGAGGATGAGTGTAGCGGAGATGAGAGTGTTAAGAAACGAATACTTAAAGGGAGTCTAGGAATTGCATCAATTGTGGGAAAACCGTTATGAGAAGAGGTGGGGCAGAGTTAGTGAGAGTTGTTATGGAGATATGAATGTAGAGTAAATGAGAGGAAGAGGAAGACCGAAAAAAAATTGGATGGACGTTATAAAATGATATTAGGATAGCTTCGACTATTGTGGCCGATCCAATGTAGTTAAGAGTGTAAAGCATAGATGAATAAGAAGAAGAGTTTTATTTTAAATTATAAATTTAACAATAATTTTTTCGTTGTCATACATTTTTTCAAAAATCGAGTAATCATAATTTTGAATATCCATTATTTCTATTGTTATAGTGTTAACTGCTAAATGTAATATATAGTATTACAGTTCAGATTTAACTTAAACCAATTGTTATTTTAGAAATGTTTAATAAATTTAAAACTATACAAAGCCTATAGTGAAAATTAAGTGACAATTTTCGATATTAGACTACTTTGAACTTATATGAATCCTGAAGAAATGCGGACTGCACCTGAAACCAAAAATGTTGCACATACTGTTTGGAAATGCCGATAATCAAGTGTTTTTTTAAGTCGTCAAATGTTATTTAATAACGTCATAATTGTTTTTGTCTTGTTTTATCAAAATTAAAATTATCAATCTATAAAAAGTAAATTAGTTCAAAAAACAAATTATTTACTTTTTTTTAATAATGTAAAACAAATGAAAAATCTTTAATTTCACTTAAATAAAAAAAAAATGAAATAAAATAATTTTAAATTATTTAAAAAAATATGTACTTTAAAAGTAAATTAGTTTATTTGATAATTTAAATCTTACATATTCAATTGTGTGTAAACATGAAACAGTTAGCTAACAGTTTAAGGACACTCAAACGAATGAAGTCTGTATTATAACTACTTCATTTGGCTACATTGAAACCTTTAAAACACGTCAATATAGTCTGCATGCTAAATTAACTAATCATATTTTAATTATATTTAAGTAGAAATTAACTCATTATTATGTACTTCTGTTAAATTCAAATGGTCTATTTTTCATTTTTCAGGTTGGTGACAGAAATGGAGTACGTGGTAAAATGCAGCTGAAAAAGTGATTGAAGACAGCAGTTTCATCAAGCTTTGAAAACCAAATTCCACTGTGAAAACTTGGGTAAACGGTTTAAAGAATTAGAAAACTAAAAAGGGGAACCAAGCTTGGTCTGCGGTCATTATGATTTATGACTATTTGTGTTTTTGTTATTTTTAGGCACGTTTAAACGTTAATTTGATTTGATTTTCCAAATGCTTACCAAAACAAAATTATTCTTGATTTTAAAGTTTTTATGGGAATATATCAAATGATAATGTAAGTAATAATGTTTACGCCTTGAAGGAGAGATTAATATAGTAATATGTTTCATTCAAAATCATCAACACTAAATTGATAATTTTCTTTATAATTCTTTTTAAATTTAAAAATAGCAATACATAGCTATTGATAATTTAAACCTCGGTAGTACAAACAAATGGTGGGTATGAGGAGGATGTGAAAATTACGATAAATGAAATAGAGGAGAGCGTTAGTTGTTTAGAGTGTTAGAAACTATAATTACAATGTATTTAATTTATATACTTGCGTGTATTTATTTTTTTAAGTGTGTCTGCCAAAATTATTTCGCATAATGGAAAAGGACTCGCCAAGATTTAAGGGATTTATTATCGATTCATAAAAGGATTTTTAGAGTAAGTAAACAATTTTTGTTGGTGACGATAAAATATACAAATATAATTACAAAACATTTCGGTTTTCGTTGTTGTAGATTTATGGCTGCGGAGAACTATGTAGTACACAGCGATAGAGATTACATCAACATGTTGACTGAGTATTGCAGGATGACCTACTGTGCGATTTGTATAAACCTCAGCGTCTTTAATTTCTGTTTAGGTATCTATACTGTGTTTTTCATATATAATATTTTATTTTCAATAGTAAATTATTGTTTTTTCGTTCTTTTTTTGTTTTGCTCGTAAATCAAACATAAACATTTTAAGTATAAGTGTGTGAAATTAAAAATTCAACAAAAAGTTTAATTGAATTTTTGTTATGAAATATTCATCCGTTATTTTATATAAATCCTGCTAAGATCATATTTAATGAAGTCAGTATGCATGTTTTGAATTTTTAACTGTGTTTTTTAAAAAAAAAATTTTTTAGTTTTTACTATATTTATTACATACAGGTTTACTACCCTTTATATAATTATTTTTTTATTTATGCCAGTTATTTTTGTTATGTCATTTATTTTTATTATTATTGAGTTGCAATAAATTTGATGAAACGCTGAATTTCTTCTACATATATACTTGCATGTATTTATTATTTTAAGTGTGTCTGCCAAAATTATTTCGCATGATGTAAAAGGACTCGCCAAGATTTAGTTATCGATTTCATTAAAGGATTTTTAGTGTAAGTAAACAACTATTGTTCACGACGTTAAAAATGTATTAAATTTTACTATATTACTATAAGTTCTATAATTTTGGTATATTAAAAAAAAAAAAAAAATGTCTAAATACACAATTATAATAACCAAACATTTCGGTTTTCGTTGTTCTGTATGTAGAATGTTATGGAGTATTTTTATATCAAACATACATTTTAAGTACAAGTGTGAAATTTAGAATTTTCTACAATTTCGAACATAAACTTGAATTGAACTTTTGTTACGGAATATTTACTTGTAATAATAACTATTTAATACATATTTTATGAAATCGGTATGCATGTTTTGAATTTATAACTATGTGTTTTTTTTTTAATTTTATTTTTTTACAGTTTCAACTATATTTATTACATACAGGTTTACTACCATTAGATTATTATTTTTTTTATTTATGCTAGTTATTTTTGTTATGTCATTTTTTTTTTTATTATTATTGAGTTTCAATAAATCTGATAAAACGCTGAATTTATTCTACATTTTTTATTTTTTATTTCTTTATTCACTTTTTGTTTGTTTTATGATTATATTGACGTAAGATATAAAAAAGTAAGTACTTGACAATACACGGAGGGATAGGGACCACTGCAAAGTTCAAGTTTTATTTACATCAAATAATAGAAATGTCTTGCTGTTTTTTTTTTATAATTTAAAATTAATTTAATTTCTAGAAATAAGTAATTTATTTGAACTTAAACGTAGATGTTCAGAATTTTAATCTCCTTAATTGCAACTTTTGGGTATCTAATTAGTAATTATTCGAAATTAAAATTAAATTTAAAAATAGTTTCTTTCAATTATACTAAGAAAAAATATATATTTTGTACGCTTGTACAAATTAATTAGTTAAAACTTAATGGTCTTAAGCAAACATCTGTTACTTGGTAGTTACACCGAGTGAAAGTTAAATGTATTGCCATCTGACAAAAAATAATAAATTCTTTGTGAATTGTTGTGTTATAATCAAACATTAGTACAATATGACCGAAGGGATTAATATTATTATTTAACGGGAAATTGTTGTAAAAACCGAACGAATAATCAAATTCAAGTATTTGAAATGTCTTTACAATATATATATATACGTATATTTATATGTAAACTTATTAGATGGTGGGCCTACTATACCATAATGTAGGAAAAAAGTCGTATTAAAAAATTAAACTACATTTTTTAACTACCGAGCCGTTTTTTTCATTTGGATTAGAAAATGTAAGTATTTCACACAAAGACTAGAAATATTTCTAATTAAATAAAAGCTGTTTCAAATTTGCTTAGGATATATGTTTTTAAATAGCACAAATTAGATCATTACTGGTTAAAGATTAACCATTTCTCATAGATTGATGGAACCGTTTTCTTTATTCATTGTGATCATAGACTTATTCATACGAAAACAGAAATTTATTTTTATGTAACTATTGAAAATTGTTACCCCTACAAAAAACAACCCGTCTCTCGAGCCACTAGACATTTTTTCATAACAATTTAACCTTTTTCAAGCCGGATGCTATTTCTTTGACATTAGGTCATTTGGCAATCTTTTATCAAACTAATTTATTATGTTATCACTATTCTAGGTTTGCTGGAGACACCCCTGGAGAGCACCGAAGACTACTCGAAAAGTACAAACATGTTCTACACGGTTTAAATGTTAATTAATTATTTAAATGATCATTCTATTAAACTTTTCGTTTGACACTATATAATTGTATTATTACTTAATTTTAATTTGTATTGTTTTTTTTTATATTGCAGCAATACTTTCATATTGTGAATGAAACTTCTCCTCTGCTAGTAAATGTGCTATCGGCGGAACAGTTGCAAGCATTTTAAGAAACACTTTGTTGACGACAAGCAAAACAATCGAGTTTAGGTTCGAATCACACTTAATACAAGCGTCGATCGTTCACATTTTTCATTAATCGCTTCCTATCATTCCGGGTCGGCAATTGAATTCCTCAACCTCCAGAAAAACTGGCCACCCACAACTATCTCACTTGTACCAAACTACCAATACTTAATCGTAAGCATTGATAATTTTTTTTATAATATATTTTTATTTAGAAATAACAATACATGGCTTTTGGAGATGTCGATCGTCGAGTGAATCAGTTTACGGCAAAGGCAGATAATGATGAACGGAACTTGAAACAGTGTTCGGATTCTATCTCCTTAAACGTATTTAACTTTAAACAAATTATAATTTTGATGGTTTTAAAAAATTTATTTATTTTTTATTTTTGGTCAGATTATTTATATCAATACTCCACTGTGCAGCGTTCGGATTCTATTAGTTTCGGAAGAAAACCGGTAATGTTTTTTTTACCATAACTAATTTGCAATAATTTCTATTGACAACCCTTTTTTACTCGTATCACGTACCCTTCCATCATCATTAATAAAAAACACTAATTTGTGGTTCATTTCAATAATATCAAAATCGTCATTACCATTATTTTTTTTTACATCATCTTCTTTACGCTCATACTCCAATATATATTTTCTCATTTTTAATAACATTTTAGATTCAAACCAAGAACTAATGCACTTGTATCAGATATATTTTTATAAGCACTCAATAACATCTAACACCCTTCCCCTGTTAAATACTACCATACATTGAACCTAAACCTAAACACTCGTCTCTCACTTATATGCACATTGTTAATATCGCCCTGTCCTTTCACTTGTAGCGTAATTTTAATAGGACACCGGCAGATTAAAAGATCTGCGGGTATGGAGAAGGATTTTTTTGAATTCCTCTGCATCATCTCGTCGCTATTTACCGAATCGTCGTAAGTCGTATTCCATGCCCACTCGTGGGAGGGGCCCCACCGGTTTTGGGGCCCAAGTGCACTAGATATACATTGTTTGGAGAGTACATTCTCTTTTTAGAGACTCTTCTGAAACGTAGTGTGTCCGGAGTACTTTTGATGACGGTACGCGCTATCTTCGGAAGAATCATTGGCTTGCCCACAATCGCGGGTCGGGCATCAGCCGTTTTAAAGGCCTAGAGCGCACTAGATACACATCGTATAAGAAGCGCCTTTCTCTTTTAGAGATTCTTCTGAAGCGTAGTGTGTCCGGAGCGCTTTAGGTCGACGTTACACGATCCATGCCCTCGCCGGAGTCGTCACGAAAATATCGTATCGGAATAACGGTGCTGCAGAAATGGCGAAGGACTTATTTGAATTCCTCTGCATCATCTCGTCGCTATTTACCGAATCGTCGTAAGTCGTATTCCATGCCCACTCGTGGGAGGGGCCCACCGGTTTTGGGGCCCAAGTGCACTAGATATACATTGTTTGGAGAGTACATTCTCTTTTTAGAGACTCTTCTGAAACGTAGTGTGTCCGGAGTACTTTTGATGACGGTACGCGCTATCTTCGGAAGAATCATTGGCTTGCCCACAATCGCGGGTCGGGCATCAGCCGTTTTAAAGGCCTAGAGCGCACTAGATACACATCGTATAAGAAGCGCGTTTCTCTTTTAGAGATTCTTCTGAAGCGTAGTGTGTCCGGAGCGCTTTAGGTCGACGTTACACGATCCATGCCCTCGCCGGAGTCGTCACGAAAATATCGTATCGGAATAACGGTGCTGCAGAAATGGCGAAGGACTTATTTGAATTCCTCTGCATCATCTCGTCGCTATTTACCGAATCGTCGTAAGTCGTATTCCATGCCCACTCGTGGGAGGGGCCTCACCGGTTTTGGGGCCCAAGTGCACTAGATATACATCGTTTGGAGAGCACATTCTCTTTTTAGAGACTCTTCTGAAACGTAGTGTGTCCGGAGTACTTTTGATGACGGTACGCGCTATCTTCGGAAGAATCATTTGCTTGCCCACAATCGTGGGTGGGGCCTCAGCTAATTTAGGGCCCCGGGTGCACTAGATACACATCGTCTTAAGAGCGCGTTCTCCTTTTGGAGACTCTTGTGAAGCGTAGTGTATCCGGAGTACTCCACGATGACGCTACGCGGCCGTATTCGTAGTTCCGGAGGCGGTCAAGCTGCTGAATGGATTCCTGAGCTAAGGATATTGGCCGGATAATGGAGCTAAAGAACCGGAGCAGCAGTTAATGGACTTTGGATTGAATATCGTTATCGTGTGACTTCATCGCCGGAGCCGATTCATAGCTGCTGGGATCGCCGTTGCACAATGGTTCGAATCGTTAATTATCTTATATAAAATTAATATTTCATAAGTAGAGAAAACTGGCCTAGGTTATATTCAATCTCGAATCGGCAAATAGTATAACCTATTGACTTTGAGAGTGAGTGCAGACTCACGGAAACCCAAACACCCTTAACTTTGTTATTACAAAGTTACATATACACGTACGGTTTTGGTCTTAAAACAATAGGAAACCCTTTTAAATGGCCCTGCATGGTTACTGCTCACATGCTTATGATAAAATGATCTAGCTCAAATTTTTAGTTGGTGAAAATAACACAAAATACCTAATACTAATAATGTTTTCAAGTTTTGTTTTTTACCATTGGATAGATAATAAATGCTAATAAACCTTTCAGTTTAATATATGTATATACATAATATATGGATCCAAATGTATGGCTAAGGGCACTTATCAATACATTAACGTATAAAATATTTATAAAAATATCTTTAGTAGTAATAACTGATGATTTGACCGGTTATGTCTTGCTATAACATATTTCTTATTTTACCTCTACATAAATATATCTATGACTTTGTAACATTGAACTATTTTAGTTAGGTATTTATTTATAAGTTTAAAATAATGATTAAGTACGCGTTGTTCAACAATTCTAATAAAGGAAATACATGCTATTAAGATTATATATAATTTATCTGTACGTCATCTTAAGCGATAAAAAATATAAAAAATAAAAATCTGATCTGATTACACAATATCTTATAAGAGCACTTTCGTTATCCTTAAATTTTAATAATGGGGCTGCTACCCTATAATTATTTAAGGTAAAATAACTTTTTTCTTACACTTGTAAGTACATATTTTACCATTTTTTTCCATACGTTGAAAATGTTTACCTTCATCCCTTATACGTAAACCAAGTACGAAAATCCTTCTTTTTTAAATAGGAACCCTTTTTTTTTAATTCCAATAATATGAAGTAGATAAAATACTTGAGCGTTTAAATTTTTAATATTCATCAAGCTGTTCGTGTTCTATGACTTTTCTAAAGATATTATACTTCCCCTTTTAATCATCATTTGTCTTCGGTTTTCTAAATTCCAGTAGACCATAAAGTTCATGTGTGTTTGCATTGTCCGATAGGCGAAAACACCAATAACCAGACACTTAAACATATTTTCTTTGGAGGCTAAAAGGCCGATTTTTAAATTTATTTTCAACAAAGCATTTCTATTTGTACTTCTCATAGTTTTTTCCTAATAAGTCGTAACTAATTTTCTAAAATTTTTAATCAAAAATCGGGTTTTAGTCAAACTTTCGCCATAACTCGGAGAAAAAAAACTTTAAAAGTATTATAATAAGAAAAACAAATTTTTTTCGCCTTTAAATTTAGTCGGCATATTAAAAATAGCTACTAGATTAATTTTTGTCAAATAATGCCTATAATGTGTCCCTTAATAAATAGAGTTTTTCGTTTCCCCTTAACTTTTTAATCACTGTGACGTTTTTTTTTCTCATTTAAATTAGAAAATATAGGTATACAATTGTGTACACAATCTAATTAGATAAAAATTGTTCCAAATTAGTTTAGGATACTTCATTAAATAGCACTTCGATATTGAGCCAAAAACTAAAAAAAATTGATCATAGACTTATTTTTTTTTTTTTGTTTTTCTTATTTAGAATTTGTACAATCTGTAATAAATGTAATTACAATAAGAACAAAGGATAAATTACATGGTAGGCAAATATATAATAATATATTGATACAGTAGACTTGTTAGAAGAGGCCAGCCAGAGCTGGTACTTCATGACGTGTGAGATCGTGGATTAGTCAACCAATAGATCGCGACACCACGTTCGCTTTAGGCGCCTTCTGGGGTCACCAGGGATTGTGTGCACGGATAGTTCCGAGATCAGGGGGTTTTTATGGCTAAAGGTTTTGGAGTGTAGGCGTTTGTAGAAGGTTTTGGCAGAGTTAAGGACTGTTGGGATGGAGAGATCTTTGTGGAGGGTATCATTGGAGACGTAAAATGGGGCTTTTGTTAATAGACGGAGACATTTATTTTGAAATGTTTGTATTTTATAGATAATGGATGGTTTGGCAGCTCCCCATAGCTGGATGCCATAGGTCCAAATGGGTTTGAGGAGTAGTTTGTAAATTAAAAGTTTGTTTTGGAGGTTGAGGTGTTTTGTTGTTAGAAGGAAGCGTAATTGACGGAGGCGGTTGTTTAAGACGAGACGCTTAGCGTGGATATGAGTTGCCCAAGTAAGACGCCGGTCTAGGTGTAAACCCAGGTATCGAACATTTTGGAAGGGGTATGTTATTGAGATAAATATGAGGGCAGTCTGTTTGTTTTAAAGTGAATGTGCAGTGGATGGATTTAGTCTCGTTGATTTTTATCCCCCAATCTTTATACCATGTTGATAATAGATTTAGGTGATTTTGGATGAAGTTTGACGCCGTTACAGGATCGGCGTGGAGGGCTAGAAGAGCTTTATCGTCGGCAAAGTCACCGGTAGTGGTGTAAGGTGTTGTGGGCTGATCTGAGGTAAAAAGATTAAATAATAAAGGGGCTGCGACAGCACCTTGAGGCACACCAGCACGAATTGAAGATATTTCAGACAAGGAGGAACCTGAACGTACGGCGAAATGTCTATTTTCTAAGTAGGATTTAAATAATAGATAAAAATATGGAGGAAGAAAGGATTTTAGCTTAAAGAGGAGGCCTTCATGCCACACTTTGTCGAAGGCCTGGGCCATGTCTAGGAATGCACCCGTGCATACTAGCTTTTTTTCTAGTGTGTATGATATTTTGTCAACAAGGCGGTGCACTTGGTGTATAGTTGAGTGATTGTGTCGAAAACCAAATTGGGTGTTAGGGAGGTTGATTTCAATGGCAGAGAGGGTACGTTTTAAAATAAGTTTTTCAAAAATCTTGGAAAATAAGGGAAGAAGACTGATGGGTCTATATGATTCCGGGGAATCCGGGGGTTTTCCTGGCTTGAGAACCATGATGATCACTGAAAATTTCCATAGAATTGGAAAGTAGGAGAGTCTGATTATAGAGTTATAAATGTAAGTTAGTAGGAGTAAAGTTTTTTTTGGTAGTTGTGTTGCCACTTCTGCAGTAATTAGATCATAGCCTGGGGTTTTTCGTTTAGCAGATTT